CTTTTGTGTATCCAAGACACATCCCTTTTACTTCCCTACGACAGCACCGGGAGGAGAAGCAGTTTAGAATACAAAATTGGTTGCAAGCAAACGTACCACCATGAGGTCCTCAAGTACAACTTAAATAAAATTGTAACATAGCTGCACTATGCAACTCGCAGGAAAATATGATGAGGTTGATTCCTGGCTGCCATAGTGTTCAGAAATTTGAGTTTCAGGAGTTTGTCTGCCTCTAGAGCTGAACTCTTTAACCAGCCCTTGGGATCACAGAACAGAGCAAGGCAGACTCAAACAGATGTAAGACTAGTACTGCAGATAATAATCTACCTGCCATACAGATGAAACTAAGAAAAAGAAGAAAGTTGAGGTTCAATGCAATTGTACAGCATTTGTCAGGTTCATCTGTAAGTATATTAGGACAGGATCATCAGCTGTACTGATTGACAGTATTCAGTGAAGATAGAAGCATTGTATAAGTCTACAGCAGCTGAATACATGCTCCTGCTGAATACCAGCTGACACTCTCTGCACTGACACTGTATTTAAAGTTGTGGTGAAGAACACCTCAGAGACTACATTTGTACAGTCACTCTGTACTAGCGACACACGGACGTGCCAGCACGGTGCCCTCCATCCCGACCCGTGCCAGCTTCCATCTCCCCGTGCAGAGGCACGTATCGCTTTAGCATGGAATTTTTACTTCTGATAAATCGCTTAATTCCTCTCTAATGGTCAATTCTAATTGACTATTAAAATGCGTTTGTACAGAAGACCACACTGGATCACAGGAAAGCACAGACAAATAAGAAAAAGAAAAAGCTTCTGCCAGTCTAATTAAAGAAAACAGTGCCTGCACCTCTACGAAGAAGCTAGTTTTTACTCACAGTACTAGCAAGAAAAATGAGTTTATCAGCTTTAGTGGTGAAGTGTATTTTTTCACTTGTTTCATCTATAGAATCATCTCATTGACTTTTTCTTGGCCTATAAAGGCCAAACACAAATGATGTGGTGGATAGTAACAGAGGCACTTCTTCATGTCAGTCAGATTAGAGTTTAAATCCCCGTTACGTTTGGGAAGGAATTTGATAGAGGACGGGCGCCTTAGAGAAGAGGCGATGTGATTTCTAGCAGCGAGTTTTTGATGTAGCAATCCAAGTTTTTTGCCACACCTGTTTTCTTAATACGGGCAGTAAGACTGAAAGAAAAACTTGGAGAGGCAAACCACAGACTGACGTGTGCATCTTTGATTCGCATACTCCAATTACTACGATGGGGAGAGAGTTAATGCCTTCTTGCCCCCTCCTCACAGTTTGAAAAAAGATAATAGGACAAACACTGTATTATTTTTAAGACAAGATGTCAAGATGAAAAAATGAAAATGTCAAAAAAGAGGCTGATATACGGCATTACTTAAGGACTGTTTTGTTGAGAAAAACTGACCAAATGATTTACGAAAGGCTTTTAACAGGGCAGTCTTTGGATTACAGTGAAGATGAAAAATAAATGAAAATCTATTTCAAGTTTACTTTAGCCTAGTCATTTGACAGATGAGGGCAAAACCTGGCAAGAATACAAGTTTTAATCTTCAGATGTAGTGACTTTATTTGCAGTTTTGTGGATTAAAAGTTTTCTCTGTGCAAAATAAGAGCTACCCGTTTTCAGACGTTTCCTGTCAAAAATTTTCCTACCTGAAGCTCCCACGAGAGGCACATGAGTAAAAAGACCAAAGGACGGATGCTTCTGCTCAGGGCACAAATCACCACATACAGAGACTGTCCCGACTGTGTTGCAGCCGGTGTGTCCACCACCTCTTGCCTTCCTAATTCTTCTTTCAAGCCTCCCTCTCGAAACACATCCCTCCTAATTAATTACTGGATTAACCAGCCTAGCATCAAGACTGCTCATGGCTGGAGGTGGATCTTGGAGCATGGACTTGTTCTCAGGATGCACAGCCTGGCACATTTCTGCCTGGCCAGATGGGTCCCCCATCTGCTCCTATTTGAAGGAGAACTTCCTGGAATTAGGGTTTTCCTCTTAACCTTTGTTTGTACAATTCCTTTGCTTCCTATTTTCATTCAGTTTTTGGTGTTGTTTTTTTTTTCCCCCCCCTTGTCACCAAAATCACCTGAAACACACCAGAGTCAGATTTAAAAGCCAAAAGAGATAGTGCTGCACAGGTTTAGGGCACACCTGGCATTAAATTAGCAGTGCTCGGCACAAAGGCTACTGAACTGCAGCTGCATCAGTACAGCAAAGGGCTACTTTTGGGTAGAGTAGTAATACAGCAGAAATTATTTCTAGTGTATGGGCTACACAGAGCCTAGCAACATCAAACCAAACCGCCAGGAGTCAAAGGCAGCTTTCTGATGTTTGCTCAAGCTATTAGGGCATGCTATAATATTTTTCAGTATAGAATTTATAGATCGAGAGAAGCTCTTGATCTTTTGGAGACTAGTAAAAAAAATCAAGATGGAAAATGGAGAGCTGATATCTAATTCTATGAAAATCTGCCACAGTTCTATATTTGTTATAAGCCTATTGCAGCACATCCTGCTCAGAGGCTTACAGAAAATGTGTTGCTAACTACCAGGGAATTATTGATTTTTTAATTTTTTCCCTTCGTAGTGCTATTGCTTGGCTGTAGAACCGATAACTTAGAGGGGGCAGGGAAGGGGAGGGGGGGGGGGGAATCAATATTACTATTATCAACTGTTGACTACAGTTTACAGCAGCAATAATCTCCTTTAAAATAGTTTGCAGAAGTACCAGTTGTCATCTACATAAGGTATTATTTTTTTGGTCAAATCATTAAATGCTGACAGTATTGATGTTTTGATGATTTTGTTTTGGTTAAATTAAGTTTTGGTGACCATCAGTATTGTCTATACTTCAGATCTGAATCATGTTTGGCTGAGAACTGCAGTGTTTGCTGTTGGCGTTATCTTTTCATTACTGATAAGAGTGATTCATTGCCCTCATTAAGAGCAACTAATATTTAACATCCCGTGCTGTTTTGTACACTGTATTTTAGTGCCGCGTTTAGATGTGTCCCCTGTTACTAAGGGCTGCACTTCCTCCAGTAACGCCTTAAATTACATGATATCATTTGTCACTGTTTTTCCCCCCACACCTTCTCCTAGAGAGGTAGCTCCTGCAGGGTAATGCTTTCTCTCAATACAGTTTTTCTGAGCAGGTTTTCAAATGTTGGACTGGGAAACCATGGTTCTGAGATGCTTCCTAATTCCTATACAGAATGGTCTTCAGCGGAGCTGCATCTCCAGAGCAAAGCTTTACTGTGCCAGAACAGAAATGTCGCCGGTCACACCTGCCTCAGCATTTTGGTTTGGCACAATAGTAGAGTTGTGATGCACTTTACCCAGTTTTCTCCATTTTCTGTGCACTAGATTATTCACGGGCCAATTTTGGCACTCACAAACTAGATTCATTTCTGAGAAAACTACCTGCGCGTTCGGCATGAGCTGGGCACAAAACACGCGTAGCACCTAATGAAGGCGCAGGAACCCAAACCAACGGCTGACCTTCAAGGCAGCTTCGAGCACCATGCAAGGGGCATTTTGTTTAAGGGAACAGACTAAGTCCGGTCTGAAATAAACGCCCCAACTGTCTACAATATAGATGTAGGGGCCTCATCATTAGCTTCTCTGATCTACTAATCCACTCCTTGATACATCTAATTACTTGAAAATGTAGATGTTACTATTCAGAGCTTTAGGCCTTTTTTGGTACGCCTTGGAGAAAGTGCCTGCAGAGTTATTTTGATTCACAAGTCTAAACATCTTGGAGATACTCCTAGGTTTTAACTTAATTTGAAAGCTCCTTCTGAAGGCCACTGACATGCAGTCCACAAGTGCTGAATACCTGCTGAAGAGACAGTTATTGGTCTTCTAAAATGCACTGGGTGTTTCCCTAAATGTGAATTTACAGCTGAATGTGTTTACATATATATATTTATGTCATAGTTTCAAGAAAAATTAATAAACTGTAATAAGTGATTTGGTTATGAAAAGGATTAGTTCTGTAGTTACTAATAGACTAAAAATGACAAGAGCGGTAGTTTTTAATACTAACACGATATTCCAAACTTTCAATGAGGAAACAGAAGGCAGTTTGCAAGTTTTCTTTGTAGTAGAATGTAGTGTCGATCTATTGGTTGATGCCTTAAGCTACCATTAATTACTATATAGAACATGTATGTAATGATAAATATTAAACTTGACATCCCAGGACACACTATACGTGCTTTTTCTCCAAAGGCTGGGAGAAGTGCTGACCAGAGAAGGCAGTCACTTGTTGGAGGTCTCACAAGTGGAACTCATTAGACATAGAAGGAGCTGTCACTCCTGCCCTCCCCCTGCTCACCTCAGAAGGCTGCCCTGCCTGCTAATCTAACTGCTTAGCTTATGCTATTTTTACCCTTCCTTCTTTTTCTGATATTGACTTAAAGCCTGTAATTTGTTACACCTGGAATTACATCTGTTAAAGTTAAGGGTCTAAGAAACATGCTGAGGTCCACCCACATAGAACCTATCGCTTGGGGAAGATTTTAAAATACTTTCTGTACGTTACCGTGAAAATACATTTGAGATGCACAGCTTCTCCAGGTAGATGGGTCAGACAACTGTTACTCATGTTTGTGGAGCTAAGGGTTAACAAGAAGTTGTACTGTAGCATTTTTGCTTGTGTTATCTACAAGCCAAAGGCAATATAGAATATTACCACAGGAACTTTTTTCTAGAACAATACGCAAAACCCTAATTAAAGTGCATTTATGATATAACCTCAAAAATTTTAATAACGCTTGTTCATATATCACAGCTGTCAAGAGATAGTCATAGTTCATATCACAATTGAGACATACAGTGTTGAGTTGTATAGAATAAGTGTATACAGCATGCATCTTAGTCACAGTTTGATTATTAGTAGCTTTTAACGATTTAAAAATTAGAAATCTAAACTCATCCATCTCTCATCTTTTTAAGGAGCATTATTCTGAACCCAGCTTATTTCCGGAACCACCTGCGCCAAGCTGCTGCGTTTAGGTGCTTAGAGAGATACGCCGAAGCTGCAAGGTACTCCGCTGTTCATGGATTTCTAATGCTTTCTCTACATCTCTTTCATTCCAGCTCTCAGTAGTAAGGATATCATCTTATATCCAGGCTTTTCCAAAATCAGTGGGAGCTTTGTGTTGGCTTTGTGTATATGATCTCACATGCAGCAGAGCTCCAGTCCTCCCAGTTGGTGCAACATGAATAATCCCAATTATGTCCCTAGTTGCAGTTAGACTAATGCATATAGGAGCATTTACTCATTCTCGGGCACAGGGGTGAGCCCCGATCAGGTCCCAGGGCTGCACTGGCACAAAACCTACATATGCACAAGCATCTTCCACTCCCTGCTTTCTGGGCAGAAGCTCAGGTGTGCTCTGAGTGGATGGGAGGAAAAAAAAAAAGAATTTAAGAAAATCATCAAGATCTCATGGTACACTGTGATATGCTGCAGAATTTAGCCTGTGTGCAGCTGATGAGATTGCTGGTGTGAACGGGAACTGCTGGCAGGAGGAAAGCCTGCAAGAGGAAGCTCTGCTTGTACGCTTGCAAGAACGCTGCCAAAAACTCAAAGTTTCAACATTCAGCAGAAGTTTTTAGTCACTTAACATGCTTAAATGGAAGAAATGCAATGGTGACTTACTATGTATCATCACTACATTAGACACTTACAGAGGACTGTTCGGCTGAAGACCACAAGGCATATCACAAAATATTTCACAAATCGTTAGCTAACTAATGGCAGAACAGTCAGCGTGAATTAGGCATGAGACTGAAGGGGTCACTTTGCTCATCATTTAAGATGGATGCTAGTGGGAAGAGCTCTGAAATTGTTAACATAGCAACAAAACAGTCTGTACGGGGAGTGGAAGAAGCCTTTATCCAAGCGGAGTTACAGAGAGGATATGGGAACATGAACTTCAATTTTCTGTGCTGGACTTCAGCCCAAACTCCAGGACAAGCATCTTTCCTTCTGCAGGACACACACTGAGATTATGTCAAAGTAATCTCCACTAGCTTTCACACGTCAGGACAGGGAGAAGAAAAAGGTTCCCCAAGACAAGGAAACAAATTTTCCAAATTTCCTTAGAAATATGATTTGAAGTCTTGTGATAGTTCCCAGATGTCCTTTTGTATCTCATTGGTAGTGGGTTTTTTTCTTCCTAAAATTTTGCTGGGGTGCTGATTCAGAAAGAAATCATTATCTACTGAATCCTCAATAGTTGAGGTCCACTGATCAGCCAGACATGTTAGAGCTGTGTTAGGGGAGTCTGTTGCTTTGTGACAGATGGGAAATCCTGTCCAGAATACTTTCAAGCCCAAGAATTCACTAGTATCCCAACAGGTCAAATAATTCAGGGGGAAACGTTTGGGCTGCTGGGGAGGGCAGGAAGGAAAAGAGGGTTTTCCCCTTGAAGAAGTCACACCAAAGATTATTAGTGACAATAATAAAAGTTAAAAAATACCCTTTCAGAAACTGATCTTTCCTAAGAAGCAATACATATAAATGCCCATATTTGAGAAAACAGTATGAACCAAGAAGGCGTTCATAAATATGATTTCAAAAATAAATAATAAAAAAAATGGTGGTTGGTGTTACTGCAGATAAGCAATCAGTAAGTTTACTACATCAGCAGGCAAGAGGGAACTGCGTCAGCCTTTTTTTCCCCACACTGAGTAGCTTTCAGGAAACTAGATGATTTTAAATGAGATTATGTATTTTGTAAAGGAGAGGAACATTCTGACAGACTGAATCCAGAGTGGTTCCAAAAGCAGTGACTATAGCAGTATTCAGAGTTTAGCCTAGTTTAACATAGTGTTATAGCAACTGTGCAGAGCTGCTTCTGCAGATTGTGTTAAACTAAGCTTAGCGCTACTTCTGTCACCTCACTGGAGTCACTGGTCTTAGTCGAACCCCACTAATGGTGCAGAACGTACTCTGCTCCTTACAGACAGACTATAGCATGCAGATACTCGGTAGAGGTTTCTGGAAATACAAACTTTTTTTTCTGAGCATAAGCTGTTATTGATTTCTGCTTTCTTTTTGCATGAGAACAAGGTCACTGTATTCCTTTTTCTGCTTTTAAGTATCCCTAGCCTTCCCACCCCCTCGTTTCCTTTATAAGTTATTGCATAGTCCATTAAATCCAGCCACAACGCTGGATGGGTACCGGCACAGGAGTTGTGGTTGTGAACAGGACTGCTCGGCACAAGCACCATGCGTAATCACATTTAACTCAGCCTACCTATCAAGCTGAGCTGAGCACAACCTATCCCCTGAGATTTTGTCCCTGAGGAGGTACTGGACCAAATTCTTCAGTTCAGAGAAAGCGATAGGTTAGAGTGGGGTCAACTGTAATTTAAGCGTTTCTCAGTTGCTCCCTGTGTAATTTTCATGCGTACTGCCCAGTATCGGGAGAATAAGCATACAAAGCAGTCTAAATGCAAGCATGTCTGAATTAATGTAAGGAGTCTGATATGCCCATATCTGCATCGCTTCTGAATTTTGTCAGCTGCATAGCGATTCCTTCGGGATGGCACTGGGATAGGATGCCACCATGCAGAGTGCAGCCTAAGGCCACTTGGCATTGTAAAGCAATCCTAGAAACACCACTGTGGGGTCACAGCATCTGCAAATGATGAATTCCAAAGTGCTGCAACCACTTTCACTAAGATGTCAGAGAGTAAATATATTTCTCCTCTATTGGTATCCCTGATGTTAGGAGACTGCTCTTGACAAACACAGTAAAGATTTAAACCTCAGAAGGGAGAAAACCTATTTCAGTTGAAAGACCGTCTTGGTCCTTGAACAAAGGGGCATAAATGCATTATATATAAATTTAGTCTGGAAGTTACCAGGAAGTTTCAGGCACTAGGAGGCGTTTAGGCTGAGGATCAGCCTCCAATAGCAGCTACTGGAAGTACCCTGCCAAAGGACACGTGGCCACAGCCAATCAAAAGATCACTCAATAACCAGGATGGAAAGCTGAGGAAAGGGTCCTGGGCTCACTTCTGTCACAAAACTGAGAAAATGCTGTCGGAGAAGGCCAAGGAGAATCCAATCTTCCCAGCAATATAAGGACTGCTGCCTTAGGGAATGATGAGATAAGGGATGTGTATGTGCAAGGGGTTGTGTAAGCCTCAGAAGAACCTCGGAGGTCCATAGTATCTCTAAGGACAGAGCAGCCAAACCACCAGCCCCTGCTGTCAAGGACAAGAGTGCGAAAAAGGGAACATGCACCCAAGGATGAGCCTCGAAGCTCCTAAAGGAAGAGATATCACAGCCTGGGCATCGTTCAAGTCACCAAGCCCACAGGCTGTGACCCCACAGCTGCCTGTTACGCATCCACAGAAGGTCTAACCAGATGAGCAATAAGGCATGAAAGCAATTTTTCTTCTTTACTTCTTTAGTGCAGGCTATTGCTGACACTGAATAGCCTTGAATCGGTAGTAAGGCAAAGATTTGTAACTTACAGAAAAATATGGCCACCTATTTGCTTTGAAACTGGAGTTTTAAGTACAAGAAGGGATTTTGCCCCTTTTTATCATTAAGCTGTATAGCTCTCATCTTTCTGCTAATCAAAATGCTGTGCTGATTTAACAGTGTCACAGTGTTCTGTGAAAAGCTTAAGATAGCTCTTTTATCACCAGCTAGAACACTAGTGATTTGAAATTAGTTGTATACATGTAGGGGAAAACAGACTGTCTGTCCCTCTGCCAGAACAAACAACTCATATTCATCTGACTGCACAGAGTAGGGGTAAGCAATCCTTAAGGAGGAAGAAGTTTTAGCATCTTAATAGCTGTGATATGGCTGACTCAGCTTTTTGACATTCCCATTAAAAAAAAAAAAATAGATAATCCCATCAGCTGAAAAGCAAACTAGCTCTGCAAGTAGTAAACCTCAGCCCTCTGTATGAATTTAGGTCTGCATCCCATTTTAGTCAGACTTGAAAATGTAGTGGCTGAAAGCTAGGTGGATAATTTGGGTTACTTTTTGTGTCCGGTTTTGCTTTACAAAACGTACAGTTGGAATCATAGAATCGTTATGGCTGGAAAAGACCTTTAAGATCATCAAGTCCAACTGTTATCTAACTCTACCAGGCTCACTTCTAAAACATGTCCCTGGGCATATCTAGACGGCTTTTAAATACATCCAGGGATGGTGATTCAACCACTTCCCTGGGCCGCCTGTTCCAGTCTTTGATAACCTTTTCAGTGTAGAAGTTTTTCCTAATGTCTAACCTAAACCTCCCCTGGTGCAACTTGACGCCACTTCCTTTTGTCCTATCAGTTGTAACTTGTGAGAAGAGACCACCCCCCGCCTCTATAACCTCCTTTCAGGTAGTTGTAGAGAGCAATAAGGTCGCCCCTCAGCCTCCTTTTCTCCAGACTAAACAACCCCAAGTCCCTCAGCTGTTCCTCGTAAGAGTTATTCTTAAGACCTCACCAACTTTGTTGCCCCCTTCTCTGGATGCTTTCCAGAACCTCAATGTCTTTCTTGTAATGCAAAGCCCAAAACTGAACACAGTACTCAAGGTGCGGCCTCACCAGTGCCAAGTACAGTGGGACAATCACTTCGCTAGCCCTGCTGGCTGCACTATTCCTGATGCAGGCCAGGATGCTGATGGCCTTCTTGCCCACCTGGGCACACTGCTGCCTCATACTCTGCCGGTTGTCAATCAACACCCCCAGGTCCTTTTCTGCTGGGCAGCTTTCCAGCCACTGCTCCCCAAGACTGTAGCACTGCATGGGGTTGGTGTGACCCAAGTGCAGGACCTGGCACTTGGCCTTGTTGAACTTCATACCATTGGCCTCGACCCATTGATCCAGCCTGTCCAGATCCCTCTGTAGAGCCATCCCACCCTCAAGCAGATCGACACTCCAGCCCAATTTGGTGTTGCCTGCAAACTTACTGAGGGTGCTCTCAATCCGCTCGTTGAGATCATTAGTAAAGATATTAAACAGGAGTGGCCCCAACACTGAGCCCTGGGGAACACCACTTGTGACAGGAGCACTAAGCG